GGACATTATAATCACAGACCACATCAATGTTACAATGTCGGCCTTCTTCAATAAAGGGTCAGTTAACCCCAAAATGGCATACTTATTAACTGAAATAGTGCTCATTTTGCATACAGACAGCATCGATTGTTGCACAGCACAGAAAATCTTGTTTGTCAGACAGAATCATTGGACTTAGTGTGAAGACTGGCTGGCAAAACTCCAGTTTGAAGCAAATATTGATCAATCTAATACATGGCCTGATACTGTACATGCAGTGTTGTTGTGCAGGTCACGCAACAAGTTCAGTGCCAGTTCACAGAAACATCATATCCTTTTGAAATCATCTGTGCTTTTCATAATGTGTGCGTAGCAAACTAGCTGGCAGCAAAAGTATGGCATTTGAACAAAGGATTTTAATATCACTTCCATTTGCTGACTCATTTATTTAATATTGCTGTGAACATGTAGAATTCAAGATGATTAAATCAAGCATAATACACATTTTTTGTTAATAAGAATCATTTGGGTTCTATAATAGAAACCAATTATCTTTATACAAAAACGATTTATTATGTAAGTTTCTATGAAAAATAAATGAATGTTCAGTGATTCTGTAACACTTCATTTTAGGGTCCAATTCTCATGATTAACTAGTTGCTTATTAGCATGCATATTACTAGGATATATTGTCTGTTTATTTTAATGCCTTATTCTGCATGATCATATATCCCTTAATCCACTCAACACCTACCTTAATAACTATTAATAAGCAGTAATTAGAAGTTTATTGAGGCATAGTTAATAGTGTTCCTTGTACTAAAGTGTTACCATTTATTCTATATTCAGTGTCATTTTTGAAGGTGATCTTGATCAATGTGTAACTTTTGCACTTATATTGTGAATTCACATTGCTATCAGTTGCGTTAAATGTTGATGTGTTTGCATATGAAGAGTTCAGATGCAAAAGCCTCTAAATGCCATTTGAAATTTTCTTCTTTAATGACGATTTTTATCAAACTTGTCTATTTAAGTTCAGTAATTTCACTTAAATAACAATTAATAGGGAATTATCATTGCCATTTAAGTGAAATCACTGAACTTAAATATACAAGCTTGATAAAAATGATCATTCTAGAAGAAAATTTCAAATGGCACTTAGAGGCTTTTGCATCTGAACTCTTCATATTAGATCACTATATATCTAATATAGCCTTTATAATTTTTATGATAATGCTTATTTCAAAGCCATTTATTTGAACCTATATGAAAATATTGATATTTACTCACTGTTAAAGCAAAACTAAACCTCAATAAAAGTGATTCCATGTGTGCAGTTTCCACATAAAACCTTTTGACCTTTAGATGAACCTAATAGAACTTTTTGTGCGTTTCAGATCTAGCGAACTGTTTCTTCTGAGCGTCTGCGCTAGTGTACTCTCATGCTACGCTATATTTAAACTCTTTCAGAAGCCAACATCTCTCTCTTGTCTCCGGCTGGGCTGAAACTGGATGGAGCCCAGAGGCTTCAGATATTGATCACCAGCTAAAAAGGAAAGTGACCTTCAAAAACTCTATCTTCAACTTGCCGGATGATTCACTGGCTTTGAACGGGCCGCTTAAAGAGATGTAATTAATGCGGAAACCTGCATGCCGGCAGCATTTGATTACCTGCTGGAATAGACCAGGGGAGCCCGAGGCCAGCTGGGACATTTCTGCAGGATCAAGGGCTGTTTCAACTCTGACACATCCAATTCACAGCATGCATGCATGTTTACGTCAGGCGACAGGCTCGTGAAGGGAAAAAAATGTATTGTTGTGAAATTGCATGAGAAATTATGTTCATATGCGAGTATAATTACCACCGGTTTCATTAGATTTATTTGCAGCTAAATTGCATCTCCTGTTAGACATAATTAGAACCGTGTGGATGTTGCAGGCATTGTGTTTCTGACATGTGTATGTGCGCAGCATGAAGAAATAAGCTATTAGGGTTTCATTTTCATGTCTTTGTGGCTGTAGAAATGCTTGTCTGTGTTTCAGATGTGTCTAAAAAAGAGAGAGAAGCTGCAGTTTCATGTGTTTATATGAGATCATACACTGTTGTGCACAAAAGACTGAACCATGTTGAACGTGTCATTGCAATGACCTTCTGAAAGGTGCACACACACACACACAGAGAGAGAGAGAGAATGATTAGAAGGTAATACAATAGTTTAAAAAAAAAACACTGAAATGGAAAACTAATCAATATTTTTAAATTATCATTATTAATCATAATATTTTTCTATTTCTATAAAATACAGCAACTGTGCTGTGGTGTTCTTGCCAGTTTTCTAAGAGATGAATATTAGTGCACTTCTGCTGACCTCTGGAGGAAGAAAGCTGAAGTACGCTTCAGGACACAAATACAGTTTAGGGATAGTTCACTTTGAAATTAATTGTTGATATGTTTTATCTTACCTCAAGGACATCCAAGATGCAGGTGTCTTTGTTTCCGCAGTAGTTTCAATTTTGATATTTTTAGGTCAAACCGTTCTTGTCTGTCAGTCATATAATGCAGGTCTATGGTCACCACCTCAAAGAGCATGCACAGAGAAGTCCAAATTAAACGACTCGTAAATGCAAGTACACATTGATGGCCTAAGACACGAAACGAGTGTTTTGTGTGAGAAAACGAACAGTATTTATATCATTAGCCCTCAGATCGATTGGACGTGGCTGTGATTACAAGAGGTAAAACGATATAAATGCTGTTAGTTTTCTCACACAAACCGCTCGTTTTGTGTCTTAGGCCATCAATGTGTACTTACATTTACGAGTCATTAAATCATGTTTAATTTGGACTTCTCTGTGCATGCTCTTTGAGGTGGTGACCATAGACCTGCATTATATGACTGACAGACAAGAACGGTTTGACCTAAAAATATCAAAATTGAAACTACTGCGGAAACAAAGACACCTACATCTTGGATGTCCTTGAGGTAAGCTAAAACATACCAAAAATTAATTTCAAAGTGAACTATCCCTTTAAAACCTCCATGTAAATGTATGTTAAAAGTCTCGATGAAATTGAGGTATACATTAGACATCGAAACACAATTATTCCTCAATGTTTCCTTTTACTGCCGTTGCAGTGAATTAGTCGTGCCATATTTATCCTTTACAGGATAATGTTAGCGTGTCTGTCAGCAACATGCTGAAATAAAATGCGCATGGATAACATCATTTAATTATATATATTTATTTTCTGATCAATATTTGTGATCACAGTGCAGACGTCCAAATCAGTAACAATAACTCCAGTATTTGCACAGAATCAAAACACTTGAGACACACAACATTGAAAACAGTGTTATGGAAAGAAACACTGAATTAGATGATAAATTCTTCCGTCACTGTACTTCAAGTTTACAATGCATTAGTTTACAAACACATAAAGACATGTAAAAGCTGCCTGGCTAAAATCAAGCTTACAGTAAATATCAGGAAGGCCTTAAATGGTGTGTTTTGAACGATATACTTCCAGTACCGTGAGTCGATCACAATCAGTTATAAATAATCAAGTGATACAATGTGAAGGTTTTCTTTAGTGTTATGTGATGTGTAGAGCCCGACCGATAAAGGATTTTGAAGGCCGATACCGATACAAATATTTTTGGGTTTTAAAATCCGATATTCCGATATATCGGCCGATATTTTTTTTTTTTTATTAAATAAATATATAAAACTTATATTAGGCAGAAAAAGTTCGTTGTGGTTTCCAAGCTCATTAATGTTAACGTTAGCGCTCTTCCACTGATGATAGTGGCATTAGCTAGCTTTGTGGTTAGCTAGTCTGATGAGCCATAATTTAGCAATAGATGACATCATACTGCAAATTGTAAAACATACATTTTCAATATCTAACAGGCCAAGGAGAGATGATTGAAGTGTGTTTCATCCGTTTTTATTTTATTTTTTAAATATTCATTTATCGGCCATTATAACTGCCGATACAGATATTATGGAAAATGCCTAATATCGGCGGCCGGCCGATACAGTATATCGGTCTGGCTCTACTGATGTGTTCATAAACTTGACTGACACACTACAACTAAAACTACTTTACAACCAGATAAACACAAAGGAACCAAAGAAACGTGGAAAACACGACAGAAAACGAATGAAAAAGTATAAAAATAAAGCCTGTATCAGTAGTTTTTGTGACACGGAGATCTACCTGACAGCATTGATAACTCTAATCTAAGTATAAAAGAAGTTTTCTGGTGACCAGCACAAATGTCCTCAGGATGATTATCATTGACAACATGATGAACCAGAACTGAGAAGCGAACAGCTGTCCCGCCACACCTGCAGCCAAACTAATTACAGCTCCGCAAAAATAGAACGCAACTAATTGTAAATGTTACAGATTATTAAAATCAAGCCGATAAAAACAACAGTTTCTGGTTATAATAACAAGCTATTTTATAGATAAATCTGGTAACACTTTAGTTTAGTGTTCAATTCTCACTATTAACTAGTTGCTTACGTACACTTTACATGAAGGGGGTGTGCATAAGATCATAAACGTGAACCGATACATCATAACCAGTCAATGTCTTGGTAATGACAACTTGATATTACCAAGACGACATAAAATGTCATAAAACATGACATAGCAGATTCATTATCAAACTTAAGAAAGCACTTAGTTTTATGGGTTAACATCACATTAAAGTGTCATGAGGCCCTTATAACTGTCATGAATATTTTTCTAATTTGTCATTAAAATGTTATAATGGCCTCATGACAGTCAATGTCAAAACCAACCACATGACTAATGTTAACCGATAAAGCTAAGTAGTTTCAAAAGTTTGATAATGAATCATGTTTATGACAGGTTTTGTTGTCTTGTAATATGGCAAAGACACTGACAGGTTATGATGTATTGGTTTATGTCAGGTTGTCATAACAAAGACATCTTAAACAATGTCATATTTGCATTAAAAATGTCATAATTGAGCGAATGACACTTAATGACAGTTAAAACCTCCTTCATATTCATAACATGTGTCATGTCAGTCTTATGCACACCCCTTCAAGTAAAGTGCTATCGTTCCTTATTAGCATGTATATTACTAGGATATTGGCTGTTTATTAGTACTTATAAAGCACATATTAATGCCTTATTCTGCATGATCATAATCTACATCCCTAAACGTAACAACTACCTTAATAACTATTAATAAGCAGTCATTCGGTTATTATAGGTTATTGAGAATGAGAATTGGACCCTAAACTGAGGTGTGACCATAAATCTTTATTTATTATTATTATTTTCATGCCCATTTTTAAAGCAAGACACTACAGGCGATATCATACTTTCCCCAGTTAGTCACAATACATTAGGACAATTGTTCTGTATAGTCTGAAATGTAATGTTTAAATACAGTATGGAAATGAGGCGAGATCTATTAAATATGGACTAATTTGCACACAAAAACAGAAATCTAAACACTGGATAAAGCAGGTTCAGAATTCTTCTCTCATATTAGACTTTTTACAAGCTTTATACTGTTAACAGACAGAAAACTATTTTTGACCTTGTTTAAATAAAATGTTAGATCAGTGAATCATTTTGAGAAAACGTCTTTAAAGATATGTTTTATAATTGAAATCTACAGACGCAAAGAGATGGAGTGTTATAAATAAAGACTTGGATCATGTTTTCTTTCCACTAGTCTGAAAGAAGACAAGTTATGGATGCACAATCAAATTTGCCTGTAGTGTCTCGCGTTAAACGGCTCTAATGCACAGCATTATACTTTCATCAATCAGCTGATCGCTGACGAGGTGAACCCGGTGTCATGTGGATTTAGGATGTCATAGCACCACCTGTAATGTTCAGTAACATCTCTCCTTGATATTGACACACGAGACTCAGGCCCGAAAGCTCCAGCTCCTCTGGAAGGGCTGGAAGGGTTTCTTCAGCGTCAGGAACATCAGCTGAGGTTTGAGTCTCTGCGGCCTCTCTGGGAAAAGCACCGCCTCACTCTCAGCGGTGGGAAAGCGTCTTCGGTAGATGTCGGGATGAGATCTCTGGAACTGACAGGGGAGAAATCACATGGGAAAATAAACAGTGCATCTCAGATTTCACAACATGAAGACATGAACGGATTAGATTAGCCTTTAGAAAAGCCATTATTCCATAGAGGTTATAACAATTGAGGTTATAACTGATGGCATGTGCTTTTGGCAAGCCACCTGTTCCACTATTTCAGCAGAACTCGTATTGAAACTACATTATACCCATCCACTCCCATGATGCACTGCATGAAAAAGTAGTATGGATGGATGACCTACTTCTTCCGTTGAGATTCTGAAGTGTGCATATACGATTGAGACTTTACTATCCCATGAGGCCACGGGAGAGGATTTATCTGATTATATATTTCTCAATTATTTTTTGTTTGCATAGCTTTATTGGATTGTTGTTCTTTCGCTCAGTAAAGCTGTTCAATACAGTCTTCTTAAACCTTTTGTCTTTTTGTCCGACTTAAAGGGGACATATCATGCAAAATCCACTTTTTTAGCCCTTACATGCATTTTGTTGTATATTTGAAGTGTTTATAAGAACAGAAAAGATCAAATTATTCTCTTCAGGTGATTCGTTTATATCTTTATATTCTGTTTTGGTCATATTTTTCAACCTGTTCAGATTTTTCTGTTTTCTATGACGTTTTTTGAACTATCACGTCACCGTATTTGCTTTCTTTGTTTTGAAGTAACGTTACACGTCTGCAGTATTATTGTTCTTGAGTTTCATCAATGGTCATTTAGCTGCGTTGTTTTCTGATGCTTTTCTAAACGCATCATATTATCAATACAGATTTTTAGTGGTAAGATCAGACCGTAGTCATTTATCTTGTCAGTGTGCTTGTTTTAACAAGAGAAATAGTCGACTTTCACTAATAACACAACATAGTTAACTTACATATCAATACATCCATATGAAGACGTTGTTTTGCAGGTTTGTCGTCGTCTTTATCGACTCGCTCGCTCTGGCTGGAATATGTAAGGCTTGATGGACAAGTCTTCTGTTCTTGACATTTTATTAACGTGTGAATAAAAATGAAGGTATCGTATATAATCGTATATCTCTAATCAAACTACAATAATGGCCGAACGTGGGGAGTTGAACCGACCGTGAACTCATCGACCTTTAGAGCGGGCGGGGTGTGACGCATCTCCTTTTTATTTAAAGGGGCCGCTTTGAAACGGGTCGCTCACAGACGCACATCAGAAAAGGGGCTTGTGGAGCTATAATAATGAGGAATTCAGACCCAAGCATTGCAGTTATGCTTTATATAGACCACAACGGTATGATTTATATGTAAAAATGCATAAAAGCATGATATGTACCCTTTAAATACTTTTCTGGTTCCAATAAATGTTTGTAATGTTGTTATGCACCCTGTATCTAGAAGATTATAATGCTTTAACCAAGTTTCCTAGAATCCTTAAGTGAAAAATGAATGTGCAAAAACACTTCCAGAACCAACGGCGCTGAAAATGTGTTTTGGCACTAATGCATTTTATCCTTTTAATGGATGAGCATTAGGCTGCATGCATATGCAAAGCAGTCAAATAAAAACTGAAGTATATTAATAGATCCCCTTTAAGCCCAAAGTCTTCTGCTCTACTAGAACAGGTTTTCCTGCTTGAATGTTGATTATTCTCCTCATATTCTCCATTGTTGCGGCTCCTCTCTTCCCAGTCTGTCAGTAACGCTCTGTTTACTTCCTGTCTCTCCTTCTGAAAAGCACACTGTGCTCTGATTGGTCGGCTGGATCAGTGTGTTGTGATTGGTCGAGTGTGTTTGGGAAATGTCCCGCCCCTTACCATAACCGCCAGTTTAACCCACTACTAACTAACTCAACCAGACCCCGCCCTTTAATTCTACATATTAATTATTATAATGAGGAATATTGTGGCGTGTTCGTTCCCGGAAGAAACTCAAGACTACAATGGAGGCGTTTCAGGAGTTCAGAAACACTGACACTGATATAGAGGAGAACTCCCGCTGTAGGGACTTTGTGAACATGTTAAAAAAAAAAAAGCACCTTCGAATCTATTACTGTAAATACATCGCACAATTTTTCAGTAGTAATGCACAGCATGCCACAGATATTGAACGAATGGCAAAAGAATCCTTTCTAACCTGCTTGAGCTTCTTCTTCTTGTCTTTAATGGACATGTTCTTGTCTTGTATGATGCTCTCCAGCAGCTCCACGATGGCCCCCTGAGACGCTGAAACCCTCTGGTGCTCAAACTCCTCTCTGCTGATCTGACGACAGAACGAGTGAGGCGGAGACGCCACCGAGGAGTCCGTGTCCGCACCCGCGTACTTTATCTGGAAGAAACCAAAGCATGCGAGGAAATCAGAATTTGGGGTTACAAAGAGATGGCCATCACAAAGCTTATTTATTCTATTAAAAAAAAGCTTCTCAACAACAAGGGTTAGGTCACCCAAAAATAAAAATGATGTCATTACTGACTCTCCCTCATGTCGTCCCAAGCCCGTCAGACCTCGTTCATCTTCAGAACACAGTTTAAGATATTTTAGATTTAGTCCGAGAGCTTTCTCTCCCTCCATTGGAAATGTGTGTACGGTGTACTGTCCTTGTCCAGAAAGGTAATAAAGACATCATCAAAGTAGTCATGTGACATCAGTGGGTCAGTTACAATGTTTTGAAGCATCGGAAATACATTTTGGTCCAAAAATAACAAAAACTACAAAAATAACAAAAACTACGAGTAAGTGAACTTGAACTAGTTAATGTAGAAAGTGAACTTTCCCAACACTGGTTCACTGTAACTTATGTTAACAGACAACTTTTGACTTTTAAAATGTATTATTAAATGTAAAAATTGACTAAGATTAATAAATGCTGTAGAAGTATTGTTCATTGTTAGTTCAGGCTGACTAATGCAGACAATGTTAACAAATCAAACCTAATAGTAATGTGTGACTGTGCAATTCTTTTATATATTTAACCAAGTATAACCTGATATAACCAAGGATTTGCAAGCAAAATAATATCAAAACAATAATATCACAGTCTACTTTGCACAATCCAATTAAATCTTAATGAATAAAATGTATCTAAAAAGAATTACATAGTTGGTGTAATGCATTACTAAGTAATTAATTAATGTAATTGAATTACGTTTCCCCGGAAAAAGTAAAGTAAGGGATTACTCTTAATTTTTCATGACGTAATTGCATTAAATACTCTATAGCCTATAAAACAATTCTATGTAAAACCATTTTACATCAAATGTTAAAATGTATGTTAATGTAACCTTCTCCCTATAAATACTTTGGTCAGTTCAAGAATAATTTATGCAATTTTATGATTTATTTGATAGAATTAAAAGAGCAGTTTCTAGTCTTTCCTTGTATTGTTCAGCTGTTTGAGGCTGATATGGGATTTAGAAAGTCATTAGGAATAGGTAATGCAATAGAGAGAGTAATTACTACAGTGTTGAAGATATAATTAGCAGTAACGAATTAATTCCCATTTCTCTCAGAAATAAACTAAAGAAGTTGTTAAATATGCCGTTTCATATTTTCAGACAGTTATGAAGCATGTAATGAATGACGTGGGCCGCTGACCTGAGCTCTTCTGAGGTGGGACAGATGCTCCTCGACAGATTTTCGCAGGTTGGACGGCACCTTCAGCACACTGTCATGGTTATCAATCATAAACGTGACCAGCTTTGTGGCCAACAGCTCATCCAAGTCCACCTCATCCGCAGATCCCAGAATGCACCGCGAGAAGGTCTGGACCATCTGTAGAGCGCCCACAAGAGACAGACTGTGTGAAAAATGCTTGACTGAATGCTGAGCTGAATAAGAAATTAAATGTAACGGTTAAGGATTATCAGCTATTTCCCAGAAAGCAATTTTGCGTTTAATCCTCTGATGGTCTTCCTTTATGAGTCACGTCCTGGGCCATCCCAGTCAGAAGTGACCGGAGGCCTAAAAATGAAACTTCATCCATCCCAGTAAAACCAATGCAATTTATTTTTGTTCTCTAATATTTATTCTTTTTAATTTAGTATTTTGAGACAATTTGATTGAATTTATTAATATTTATGCAATATTTATGGTCTATTTTTTTGAATGGAAATATATATTTATTTTTCTATATATATATATATATATATATATATATATATATATTTAAAAAAATTCATTATTAATGCAGTATTTTTGTTTATTATAGAGTCTAGGCCTTCAGCAAAAAATATTTTTTGAAGAAAATTAGCACCATCTGGTTACAGTATAGAGAAAAGGTGTGGAATCATGGTGTGACCACTAGATGGCATGTACAGCTCTCTATGGAGAGGCATGTGAATTCCCCAGCTGTTTATGAACACTTTTTTTTTGGTGGATTTGAATATATAATTGAAACAATCTCAAAAACTATTTCTTATTAAAAAATTGTAAAAAATAAAAAAATAAATAAAAAAAATTTTGTTTTTGTCAATTTCCTATTCATTTCCTATGGGGGTCATTTTTGACCAAAGGCCAAAATCGTGACTAATTTTTTTTCGACCACTTAGCATGCTCGGATCATGAACTCAATTTTTTGGTGTGTTCACATACATAATGCCAGAAATGTCACCAAGTAACATTCCGATTAACTGTGATTTTTTAAAAATTCAAAACAGATTTTTTGTAGTCTGAATTTATTGGTGTATGTGTATAAAAGTGTGTTTGTATGTGTGTGTGTGTGTGTGTGTGTGTGTGTGTGTGTGTGTGTGTGTGTGTGTGTGTGGGTGTAAATTTTTTGCACTCTTGATGTTGTAGAGTGTCACCCCTTTACTGCGGTATACTTCCTTTAAGAATCGTGGCCAATTTGTGGATTGTACAAACAAAAATTCAGAGAAAATTTTTGTAAATTTCCCATTCATTCCTATGGGGGTCATTTCTGACGAAGACCACGAGTGTGACAATTTTTTTTACGACCACTTAGCATGCTCGGATCATGACCTCAATTTTTTTTTTTTTTTTTTTCACATACCAAATGCCAAAAAAGTCACCAAGTATCATAACCTTCCGATGAAGCTGTGATTTTTAACAATTCAAAACAGAAAATTATTCGGTCAGAAGTGACCTAGGACCATCAGAGGGTTAAAAGACGTCTAATAGCGTCCAAACACAGTCCAGACAGAATTTGGGCTGTCAGTGAAAATGTAATAGACGTCTAAACCATCGTCCAAGAATAGACTAGTCATCAATTAGATAAAGAAATGAAATGAGTGAAAAAATGAAACCGAACACCTTGTACTGACATGATATCACACATCTCACGAGTTATTTCGGCAAAAACAACATGCAACCAAATTCAAGGTTATTTTGTCTAGACGTGTGTTCCTCATAGCCGGCTATATTGGGTCTACAGTTAACCTAGACGCTGAAATGCATGCTGAGTTGCCAAATAATATCCAGAGCATGTATGTGAGGAGGTGAGTGAGTTACCAGAGTCCGCGCTCCTATGGTGTCGTTCAGAGGGGGGAGAGAGGGGTTGGCGCAGACTTTAGCCATCAGACGCATTAACAGCTGTAGTTTACGACGGTTGGCCGGAGGCAACAGGAGACAGCAGACCTGCAACGCTTCGACCACAACCGGCTGCCTCTGCAGAAGACCTGTGCGGAGAACACACACACACACTCACTCAGAGCCTAGTTGATGCCAATCCTTACATTAACAATAACATTACAAGTGCTCATCGGATGCAAAATTCACTTTTATATTGTGTTTGCGTGTTAAATGTGTGTGTCCATTCACTCCTTTTTCTTTTATCCTCAAAAAACCTAAACACTCTCAATAATCAGGCCGTTTGGATTTTCTGAGCAATTTGATGTCATATTGCTTATGCTCCACCCACGACCACTGATTGACTGTCACGAATTAGCATATTTTCTGCATTAGCATATTTCCGCCCTCAGCTCTTTGTATACTGTCCGCCAAGACAGCACTTTACGTGTCTTTTGTCACACGCCCCACAGAAGAGAGGATCAGCAGCTGCTCATTATCATTTAAAGAGACATGCACTGAAACGGGTCGCTGTGAACAGAACTGTTTTTGAGGAGGTGTTGATTTACACAACCATTAAAGGAGTAGCTCACTTTTTAAAAAAACGTTTGCTGATAATTTACTCGCCCCCATGTCATCCAAGATGTCCATGTCTTTCTTTCTTCAGTCAAAAAGAAATGAAGGTTTTTGATGAAAACATTCCAGGATTTTCTCCATATAATGGACTTCAATGGGGACCAAACAGTTCAAGGTCCAAATGAAAGTTTCAGTGCAAACTGCAAATGGCTTTAAACGATTCCAGACGATGAATAAGGGTCTTATCAAGTGAAACGATCGCTCATTTAAAAAAAAAAAAATAAAGTTTAAGTTTTATAAGCTCAAATGCTCGCCCTGCTTTGTTCTGTGATGCGCGTTCGTGACTCTCCTGTTCAAACTCGTTCATCAAAATGAAAAAATCTTTTCCCGAGTCATTTGGTTCATTCAACAAACGAAACGAACGAATTGACTTGGAAAAAGATTAGTTCATTTTAGTTCAAGATTAGTTTGAACAGGAGAGTCACGAACGCGCGTCACAGAACAGAGCAAGGCGAGCATTTGAGCTTATAAAACTTAAACTTTGTTTTTTTTTTTAAAGGATCGGTCGTTTCGCATGATAAGACCCTTATTCATCGTCTGGTGTCGTTTAAAGCCCTTTGAAGCTGCACTGAAACTGTCTTTTGGACCTTGAACCGTTTGGACCCCATTGAAGTCCATTATATGGAGATAAATCCTGGTATGTTTTCATCAAAAACCTTTTTTTTTCTTTAAAAGTGAACTACTCCTTTAAGAGCAGCAAGTGATTTCTTTGTATTTTATTTGATTACCATTAGAAACACACAGCAGGGATATTAACACACAGTTGTGTTCCCTTTAAGACATAATGCACAGATCCAAAATACTGATACTGCTACTTATGCGTTGTATTTCTCAATCATATAAGTTCACTTAAGGCATAACAGACGATGTCTGCTAGGAAACTTATCAAGACGGGCATGTTGACATAATTTTTGTGTAAATTTGTCTCCGTTCAAGTGCAAGACTTGAAGGAGAACTCAATATTTGCAGGCTGTCTGAGACGTGTGTGCGCTTTGGATGAGTGCACACACACACACACACACACACACACACACTCTTCTCACAGCGCATGTAAGTTCTCTTTCTTGCTCAGTTGCTCTTGAATGTTTAAATTGGCAGGGCTTAAATGAGTTTATTTTAAACACAGATATCAACGTGTGCAGTTCAGGTCTCGTCTGTGCTCGCACTCGGGTGATGACGGTGTAAACGACCAGATTATGCGTCATCAGATTTGATTTTTTGATGTTTCGATTTTTACAGAGAACTGTAACACCCCTACTACGTATTAGTTTTCAACTAGCTATTTCAATAGCTGATACACTGAATCTATCTGATATCTATCTATCCATCTATCTATCTATATATTTATCTATATGTATATATATATATATATATATATAAGGATTCTTCAACTATGGTACTCTTTGAGCTAGACAGTTTCATAAAAATAAAAACATTTCTACAAACAGTTTTTTAGTATCAGTCGGTTTCTCAATCTGTCTAGAAACCTTCCCTTAAGTTGGGTGCGATGATTTGTATTGAATAATATATATATATATAGGCATTTTTATTTGACAGCCCAAGAAAACGCCAAAGTTCTCTTATTTACCAACAATATTGTAGCAATAATAAATAATAAAATATTTCTTACTACCTTAACTTAATTAATTGTATGTTTTTTGTTTTTACATTAACATTTTAGTATTATAGCCCAAAATAATTTGCTGTTTAGCACGAACAATGTCATTTCCACCACAACCTGTCTTTACCACCACAATGAACACTGTGGTGGAAATGACATTTCCCCCCTTTTCCTCTAAAATATCATGCTATGTTAGCCTGTTAATATTAGTTTTACAGTTAGCATTAAATATACACAAATTACACATTATTAAATTAATTTGATCCAGTTATTTTTACGTCCATGTGAAATATGAGCCATTTGGAAATGACGGCCATTAAACATATTGTCAGTTTTAGTCATATTTACCTTGATTTTTCTTCTTTTCGTTACCCCCTAAAGGGCTCACCCTTTCACCCAGCCATGTGTTCACTGTGGAGTTTCTGTTGCTATGGTTACTAGGTATTCAAACCTAAAACAATGATCCCAGGATTCTATTTTGTACAGTGTGGTGTAAATGACAGTGAACCCAAGGGACAAGGGTTCTGCTTATGAAAAATATAAGAAAATGTGAATAAATATTGCAATATATTATGTATAATTGAAATAGACATTATTTTATAATTTGTACTTAAAATCTACATTATTTAAATATTTAATTTAGAATTAAGCGAGGTTGAAGGTACAAAGTCTGGCTTAGGGACAGGGGCAAAACAGTAAAAATCATGCATAAAAGGCCTCATATTACATAATAAAAAGAACGATTGAGCCATGATACATTTTTTATAAGTTCCCCTTAGGGTGAAGTAAGTCTGACAAAAACAAAAAAGAAGAAATGTTTTTTAGATTTTATTATTTCACCCAGGGACAAGAAAAGTACCGTAGTTAAAGAATCACCCATATATATATTTATCAAAATCTTGAATAGAAAACTAAACAAAATAACATGTAAATTACTAGAGGTTCTGACCAAATGTTATTTGCTGTGGTACATTTAAAAATGTTTAATTTTGAATGAATTAATTTTTTTTTTATTGTGTTAAATGAATTATTTCCAGTAATGAATGAATGAATGAATGATTCAACTATAAATAAATGTGTTGAGTCACTTGCCGCCACCTACTGGTGTAATGATGAAATTTAGATAATCGATATTTAAAGTTGATTTGCTCTATTTTGACGACATCAGTGTTTATATCAGAAATATAAACTTTCATCTCAGTACTTCACACTAGGCTTGCCGCGATAGACGGTGTTGACGGTGTTACCGGTTTTAAGCCCCATCACCGGTGACATCACTTTCCCACCGTGACACCGCGATGTCTTGACTTTTTTTTTTTAAAGTATTCGTTTTTGCTAAAATATTTATTTGAATTAATTAAAAATAATAATTTTCAATTATTTAGTTCTGAAGAGAGCATTATAATTAAAAATGAACTGCGCAACGCGTGCTGTCACGTCACACATCAGCAAGCATCAGGATTCCATTTAGCACGTGTAGAGACGAGAACAGTCAAATTACAGAAAAGCAAGATAATGGCGGAAGATTTGGTGTCAAAACGCAATGCAAAAGTGCCTGTTTGGCAATATTTTGGCCAATATATATTAATGTTAATAAATGCCAATTTATAGTGTTTTACTTTTTTTTAGAGTGCTGTCATTTATGTAGGCTAAGGTCCTTTTTAAAGTTTTTATTTTATATTCGTCTCTTTTTATTTGGTTTTATCTTATTTAAACTTTGTTTAATTTATTTAGGCCTATTTTGTTTTCTTATTCGTTAATAAACGTTTTATTTTTTTTTTGGGCCCACAGTTTGCCGATTTTCACCTTTTTCAGCCTATGCATGGGGTTATTTTTATTCGTTCGTTATGCTAATAAAAGTTCTGTCTATATTTTATTCGTTTATTATTCTAATAAAAGTGCTGTCTAAATAAAAGTTTATTGTCAGCGAGTTGTTTTTTTTTTTTTGTCCATTCCAGCAATTGACGCTGAATTGCAATTGACGCTTATTTCGAAAGTGAAAGTATGTCATTTATGTAGGCTAAGGTCCGTTTTGAAGTTTTTATTTTATATTCGTCTCTTTTTAATTGGTTTTATCTCATTTAAACTTTGTGTAATTTATTTAGGCCTATTTTATTTTCTTATTCGTTAATAAACGTTTTATGGTTCTTATTTGTTTGGGCCCACATTTTGCCGATTTTCACTTTTTTCAGCCTATGCATGGGGTTATTTTTATTCGTTCGTTATGCTAATAAAAGTCTATAAATAAAAGTTTTATTATCAGCGAGTTGTTGTTTTTTTTTGTCCATTCAAGCAATTGACGCTTATTTCGAAAGTGAAAGTATAACGCGCACGCATTTAAAAGCTATTTAACCCCCCCGCCCTGCCCTCCACGGTGACACCGGGATTACCGGTGTTGTCACACGTCGATTAACCGGTGGGAAATTTTCCTCACCGCGGCAACCCTACTTCACACACTACCATATAAAGGTTTGGGGTTGGTAATATTCTTTCTAGCGGTTGATTAAATGGCACTGATCATGTGAATAGCTTGTGCATCACTCACCCAAAATGCTGACAAATATCTCATACAGGTGGAAGGTCAAGAGTGGTTCTTTCAGTCTCTGAAAATGTTCTGCAACTGTCCTGAAGACGTCTCTCTCAAACCCTGGATACATGGGCTGCCTGGCGTCATTGCCATTGGGCCCTGAAGATGAAGCAAATTCAGAGATGTGTAAAAATCATAAACGGGTTGTAAAAATACATGCATACAGACATATTTAGTTCCATATTAATATGCCAACCTACAGGTGAAACTCGAAAAATTTGAATATCGTGCAAAAGTTGTATAGCTTATGAAAACCCCAAATACAAAACCTCAGAAAATTAGAATATCAAATGAAATCAATCAAAAACAGGATTTTAAATACAGAAATGTCAGCCATCTAAAAAGTATAATCATACATTCGTATATTGTTATACTTTCACCTTTTAATTTGAATTACTGAAATACACGAACTTTTGCACCATATTCGAATTTTTCGACTTTCATCTGTATATATAGGCTAATGAACTAGATCACTTAAATAACTTAAATAATAGCTTTTTGGATTATTTATTGAACAGTAGTGTCATTGAGTTGAATCAGTATGACAGCAGGTCATCAGTCACTCACAGTTTGCCAGGCATTTCATTGCAGATAAAACCCAATGAGGCACGTCTTCTACAGATGCAATTATCAGAAACAAAACAGAGAAAGAGATCTGTCAGAAATTAGCTATAAAATCATTTAATGTGTTAAAATATAACCCATGCTCACCTGTTTTGTTCTTCAGGACCACAATGCCCTGCTTATTAACACCAAATACGTTGTGAACGATGTGCTTCGGGTTCAGAAGTTTGGCATCTAGAACCCCGTCCAGAGACTGGAGACCCAAAACCGTCTGTAAACTGATAAAGAGAGTTATCTATAAGGGCACGTCTCATATGTAGTCCTGCCATTGACTTAGCTAAGTCACTATTTGTGTTAATTGGCTGCTTTGGCTCGCACTCAAAGAAGTGATTTGGAAATGTTGCGGAGACGCTGAAAAAACTTTGTATGGACCAGTGTACTTTTAAAAGTAATGCATGGCAATATTGGTTATTATTACATGGCTCTGTGGAATACTTGATTCTGATTGGTCAACAGTTATTCCCAGATAACAACCGCTCAAAACAGAAGTCACTGAAGTCGGCTGTGCTCTTATTCAATGAATTACTCCGCGCTTGTTCACTTGCATTGAAGTAATAGCGAATATTAAAAAGCATTTGGTTAACAGAAATGACACTGTTATTATCCAGCATCATACATGTTCTGAGTCCTTTATTGATCTGTCCACCTAAACACATTTTTGGTAAAAAAAAAAAAAAAAAAAGGCTGTTAAAAATTGATTCCCTATTTTCGTTTTCAAAACGTGTTGGATGGTCCGATCGAATGTGCAATCAGTTTTCGAACATGAAGTGCCACCCATAATGCTTACTGTGTTAGTGTCATTGACTTCCATATCTGGTCCACGTGTTTAGGGGTTAATTCGGTCCTCCGGACTAACCGGCATTCAGGAACCTCACCAATGGCGATGCTGTGCCTCTTATTCCACGACTCACAATTCTGAGATCAAAATTAAAATATTTTTTAAATAATTAAAAATAACACAACTTATGCTGAGGTTTAACATTGTAAATAGCACCAGAAAGAATACATTTTTAAGACAATACAGCATCCACGAGCGAATAGATGTTCTCTCACCATAAGAGGCTTCATGGGGATCTTCTCCGGCACTGTAATCTCCTCATAGTCGTCCCAGCGTGGGATTCTGGGAACTGAGCCGTGATCTCTTACAGGAGGACGCACAGGGACAGGCTTCAGAGGTGATTGTGGAGGAAATCTGACAAATTTAAAGCATTTATTATGAATTATTTTGAAATACCAATCTAATTTTTTTATTATTATAATGCAACGTTTGAAAAATTTGGGGTCGGTAAGATTTTTCTTGAGCATCAGATCCTCATATTAGAGTGATTTCTGAAGGGTCATGTGACACTGAATACTGGAGCAATGATGCTGAAAATTCAGCTTTGATCACAGGAATAAATTACACTTTACTATGAATTCACATAGATAACAGTTATTTTAAATTGTAATAATATTTCACTATTTTTACTGTATTTTTTATCACATAAATGAGAATTCTTTTTTTTTTTTTTTATTAAAAACCTTACAGGCACCAAATTTAGCATATTTAAAAACAAATCAATTTTTATAGCGCTTTATGCAATACAGAGCAGTTTCAAAGCAGCTTCACGTTAATACAGATGAAACTCGAAAAATTAGAATATTGTGCAAAAGTTCATTTATTTCAGAAATTCAACTTAAAAGGTGAAACTAATATATTATATAGACTCATTACATAACATGCAAAGTGATTATATTTCAACAAGCCTTTATTTGTTATAATTGTGATGATTTATATGAAACCCTTTTCCACAATATTCTAATTTTGAATTTGGGGTTTTCATAAGCTGAAATTAGTTTCACCTTTTAAGTTGAATTACTGAAATAAATGAACAAATTTTTCGAGTTTCACCAGTAAACAGCTAAATAAAACCAATAATGAAAGATTCTTTAAAGTCACCTGTATAGATGCCCGTTGTCCTCCAAGTCCTCTTTACCAAACCGTCCTTTGACGTCCTCGATGACGTGATTTCTGAGGAATTTTCGTAGTAACTGGAGCGTTTGGTAGCGCGTCACCTCCGGCCCGAAGTTCTGGTTTTGTCTGAGCAGGTCATGGAGAAAGTCGACAGCCTCCGCTCCGGTGAAGCTGTGATCGTAACTCCTGAAATGAGCCCAGTGACGTCTGACTGGCATTCCACCACGGAAGAGCTTGATGGTCTCATTCCACTGGAGACAGAGGAGACAACAGAAGACATTTCAGAAGGACTGACTGCCACCATGTGTTGAGGGCGGTGGGACATTTACATTGAAACAATGTTGTAGTATTTACAGGGTTTCTGAAATTAAAATTACTTTTAAAATAAATAGCTTTTAAAATTACATTTTGGACGACCAGCACAAATCAAATTAATACCGCATGTCTTTACAGATGAAACCCATACAATCCCAAAATAAATTGGGTATGTCAAATTCATTCACATATTAAACTAGGGATGCACCGATTATGAACCTTTTGGCTGATAATTCTTTATGTTTGAAAGCCGACATATCGGCCGATAAATCTAAATCCAAATTCCTATTAGGGATCGACCGATATGTATTTTTTAGTGCCGATACCGATTTTTTCCCCCATCAGCCTTAGCCGATAACCGATACGGGCTGCCGATTTTCTTGAGCCGATATTTGAAGCCGATACATTTTGCTCCCTCAATTTACATCATAAAAATGACATGATGTTAACAAATGTTACAGGTCTCAATTTAATAAAAGTAACATTTAATTAACTTAAAAAAAATAATATTTAACAAATAGTAAAAACATATGAGGTAGAACAAGAACAAATAGATAACCAATTTTTAACAAATATTAAAAACATGAGGTAGAACAAAAAAAAGTTCAGTGCTGAAAATAAATATTTAAGCATAAATTATATTATTTTTGAGAGCCTGATTACAAAAACATAAGTTGCACCATTGAAAGCCATGTCACAAGCACACAATTATAATGTTCTGATTGTAATGTTATGTAGCCGATATGACAGACTTGAGCTGCACATGTTGCACTGAACTGAATTTTCATTTTTTAAGCTATTCCAATCATATTTCAAACAATTTAAAACCATGTTGAACAGTCTGAAGAGTCTCAGCTGAAGGAAAATAATACATTATTTATCAGCTTTAAGATATCGGACAAATTTTTTTATTGGGCCGATAACAATAACATTAAAAATGAACATATATCTACCGATAAGGTGGCCGATATATCGTGTATCCCTATATTCAACAGCAAAAGAGGATAAGTCTGCAAGTTTAAAAACCCAAGACATGTTTTAATCAATACACATGAAGTAGAGGTCCATTGATATTGTATTTTGCTGATACAAAAATAATGTTCTTAGCCAGTGATTATAGTTTATAAAGTTATAAATGTGGATATTTTTCTTAAACACATGCATGGCTTTGCTTCAGAAGGCATTTATTAACCCCTGGAGTCGTATGGATGACTGTTATGAAGGATGGATTTGCTTTTTTGGGTTTCAAAATCTTAAGCCCCATTCACTCCCATTATTATAAAGCTTGAAAGAACCAGGATATTTTTTTATTATAAGGTTAAATCTGATTGTGTTCAGCTGAAAGAAAGTCGTATACACACCTATTGTATTTTATTGGAACAATTATTGGATCATTTTCATTTTTTGGGTGAGTTATTCCTTTAAGGATCGCGAGTTTTCTGAAATTTTATGTTTAAATATGAGGCATTATCTAATTAAATATGTAACGTTACCGGTAGTAATTTACATAAATTCCCAAAACAGAAATCTGAACAGTGGATAAAGCCGGATTCAAAATTCTTTTTTCATTTGTGACATTATTAGCGTTTAAGGTTTTTATAGAAAACTACAGACGCAAATAGATTAACCAAGTTAAAATAAACACTTAAGGTGAATATAAGTTAGGACGTTCTTACCACCGGTCTGAAAGAAGACTAAGATAGCTAATAATACAAAATAACCCAAAGTGCATTAAAGAAATCAAAGATTTTGCCTATTAGGCCTACTTATGTGCGTGTTTTAGTATTATTGTAATATTTATTTGGCCAAACTGTTTAAAGAGACACCAAATCAGTTCACGTGAAGCGTTAAAAGTAAACGAGTGGACGGAAAGAGTTTCAAAAATAGTTCTTACCAATTTCGTCGCCCTATAAGGCCCAGGTCCAATCATTTTACCATCCATTTAAGTCCTGATAGGTTTTAATAGATTATGTGCTTATTATTTATCCATTTACTGTGTTTGTCCGTAAACATCTTCTCCACGCCAGTTACCTCACTTTTGAAAAACCGAAACGTTCCTGAACATAATTTGATTGGCACACGAAATCAGCCACGTGATGCTGCCTAACCAAATAAGGGCATTAGCTTAACCGGGGCTGCCAAAGTGCAGTATGGGAGGTGTAGTTTAACTGCACGGTAAAAATTAAAAATAAAAAACCTCATGTACATGTAATGAAATCGCAAGACAACAGAGATAGTAACAAATAATTTATTTTGTTTCAATATAAAACACTTATATAAACAGCTATTCTTTCACAAAATTGATTTTAAAAGACAAAAAACAAGGAAAAATTCAGATATTGTTCTGGTCTTCTCATTTCCTCAGATCAGTAGAATATAAAAGCATAACAGGTAATACCTACAGATCAATTTCATTTTTTTTTTAAAAGATCACATTAAGAAAACAATCAACATTAAATAAAGAATAAATAATCACGCAGCATAAACAAAACAACTTCAGATGATGTCACATCTGCCACAACCAATAGACTTCCAGGTTCGAGCACCTCCAGGTAGATCAGTCATGTTCCTCAAGGGTCAAAGGGCGTCGGGCTCATTAAACTACAACTAAAAACACAGCCTTAAAAATCCCTTTTAGCAACAAACTTCAAATCAGCCTTGCTCTCATAACCTCTTCATATTCGGCCAAGCAGTTCAATCATACTCCAAAGCTGAGAATTTCAATATTTACAGGTAAATTGGAGGACATAATGAATACTGTACTTCCCACCCCATTCTCATTTTGAAGACAACAAAATTGAGGACAGAAAACACCATGGTGCAAATTCGGAAGTGTCAAATCCAGTGATAAGGTGGCGGTTTTCCACATTAGTTTTAACATAAAACAGGGGAGTGGAACTTGAACGCATGAAATAAAAGGAATATTCCCACTTAACAGGTTATAGCTTTACGTTTAGCTGGCCAAGGGAAAAGAGAGAGATCACTCAGATTTTTTGAGAAGGTAGTTTCCGTTCTGGAGCACTTTAGGAAGCCTCTTGCCCTTGGTGTAGGCGTGATAGTAGAAGTGGACGAACAGGATCAGGAAGATCAGCCCATAGAGGCCGATGATGTAGAGGAAGACGGGGAACTGGTATGGACACTCCTTCATGAAGAAGAACTGGCCGATGTGAGCCGTGATTACCACAAACTGAACCTGACGCAAACACAAAGGTCAAGTTAGAGATGTGAAAAGCTGGATTTGGACAACAAATGACACATATGTTATTCGTGTGGGTTATACACAATAGGCTATATAATGTACACACACTCATTTAAATCTATTATAGTTTTACTGTACCGTGTTATTTTCATTTACTTATTTTTTGTTTCAGTTAGTTGCAAATTCACATATTTTTTCAGTTTAGTTTCATTTAATAATACATTTGTTTTAGTTAAAGTCCCCATAAAAAAAAAAAAAAAAAAAAAAATGGCTTTTAGTATGAATGTTCAAGTTAGAGATGTGGAAATCTGAATTTGGACAAAGGAAACGTGATGGGAGAGGAGCTTGTAAAAGGCGAACTTACCAGCTGGATGGTGGTCATGTACTTTTTCCACCACAGGTACTTCTGGTAGGCCGGGCCCATGGCAGAGAGAGCGTAGTAGGAGTACATGATGACATGGACGATGCAGTTCAGCAGGGCATGGAAAGTTCCCAGACCACCTACGAAAGACAAATGAGTCTGTTAAAGCCAAATAGAGACTTCAGAGCAAAATGAAGCAGCTTGTTCATTACAGAAAGTGAATGAGCACCACTTAAATATGCAATATGAGTGACTCATATTGCATACAAGTCACAAAAACATGCAAATGTGCGAGAATTGGTTTATTTTTGGCTGAAAGTAGACTAATTATATTCATTTGTGTGAACGGCTCGTACAAGTGCTTTTTTGTTTTAAGGACTATAATCAGAGATCTCACTTAAACATCTTTATTGGCTTTCAAAAAAACTAAAACTAAATAAACTAAAGCAAAATGGTACAAAAAGTGCAGCACATGCAATGACTATCATAGTATCCTTTCAATGGTTACAGTTGTCAAAGATATCACTTTCCTTATTTCAAACTATTAGAACCATGCATATTTGGCATTATAACATGCATATACTTGGATATTTAATATTAGCAATATCACTCAGAGCCATTTCGCATGGCTATACTGCATGTCAGACGGGTTGCGGAGTTAATTGTGTAAAAATAGTTTTATCAATAAAAAAAAAAAAAGTAACAAATTTCAAATATATGGTCTTCAAGAACCTCTTAATAAAAGACTTTAACTATTTTCCAAGGCTTAAATTTCAAAAAGTTTAAGCACCTTTTACGAAGACTATTTAAAGAAACCCGAAAAGTTCCAGTCCCACCAGTGAAGGTCCAGGTAACCAAACCCCATAAAAATAAAAATAAAAAAAAGAAGCTTTTTACCTAGGAAACATTCTCTAGGCAAGTCAAATTTGTCTTGTTTTCAAAAAGTCAAAATTAGGCGAATTTTTGCTTAAAAAAAAAAAAGCAAATAGAGAAATCTAAATATTGTTTTCTTTTTGTTTTAAAAGTGGTTCAGCATATGACAATCATATCCCTTCACAAGACTTGGATTATACCCATCAACTCAACGCCTATGCTTTTCAATGGAGGGACAGAAACCCAATTAAAAGGCGTTTCTTTTGCTTCGTTATGGTTTGGAATGAAATGAGGGCGAGTAAATGACAAATTCAATTTTCTTAATTCCTTAACCGTCAATCGTATAACACTTTACCTGCGGAGAATTTGACCCCAAACCACCATGTGAAGGGCATGATGGAGTGATGGTAGACATGAAGGAAGGTGACCTGGCTGTTCTTTTTCCTTAGGACAAAGAAAATCTACAAACACCAGAAAGAAAGGAGGTTTAGCATTAATGGTCTACTGTAAAATACAATAGATAACCCGTTTTGAATGCAAAAGAAACACCTACAGTATCAAGCATCTCAATGAACTTGGAGAAATAGTACAGCCAGCAGGTCCATGCCATCTAGAGAAGAGGAAACAAGAGAGATGAGAATGACAAACTGTTGCACACGTCATCAGAAAGCATTAAACACACAATCAGAGGAATGTGCTCCATTCACATACCCGGACAGCTTGAGGAGAACTGGAATAGTCGACGAGGTCGCACCCATATGTGTAGCCGTTCGCCCAACCAGACATCAGAAACTGCAACGAGGGAAGAGAGATTGAGCAACACGCACAATAGAAATGATAACATGCATTATGCAACAGTTTACAAACCTCATAAATCATGTAGAGGGAAAACGCCACAATGCTGAAGTTATAGACGATCATGAGAGGCTTGAGGTCAAAGGGCTTGCGGTTTTCCATTAGCCGGGGACCCAGTGATGTCACGAAGTAGATGTAGGCAGCGATGATGAAGGTTTGAGGGAACGGCGAGGCCATAAGAAGCCAGTTCTCAGTCCGTGGATCTAAAAGTGATGCAAGAGACGTCATTTTCCAGACACAGGCATGCTAAGATGATTAAATTCACATTTATTTGTGAAGCACTTGCCGTACACATCGTTTCAAAAGACACTTATGTAGTGTCATCAAATGTTATGCATTTCAGAAATGTACACAGTTAGCTAAAAAGTAGTCAATGTAATTTAAGGCATAAACAATGAGCTCATTGAAGTGATGAACACTTGTTAAACAAATAATTGACATTTAGAAAAATGTAGCATTGATGATGATGATGATGATGATGATGACGACTCACCAGCTTCCTTAAGCCACTCATCATACAGGAGAACAGCTCGAGAGGTCAGTGTGTTGAAAGCCATGTCGAAGGTGTGTTTAGGCGTCTCTTCTAGAGAAAAAGATTAAATTATTAACAAGACTTATTTGTACTGCATTAATGTTTGCCTGCTAGATAAACCAGAGAGGGATTTTATAGGCTTTCCCCAAACTCTCCCGCCACTCCCAGAGACAAACCCATACAAACCACACCCGGACACAACTGGAAAGACTACAGATTAAACTTATTTTAGTATTTCAACTAGGGATTTTAATATTTCAATAGCTTGAATGCCATCTAAACTTTTTAAAGAGCGATGTGTGTTTTCAAACCCCCTTATTTAGCTACTTCAACGGGAAATATTCTAAACCTAACAAATAAGAGTCACACGACAATAACAAACCTTTAAACCCTGAGGTGATGCTCCTTCACCGGTCTCCCTCCTCAGATCTGCTCCTGTTGTCAATGCGTGATTCACTTTTAACCTGCAGTTCTTCTTATACAACCTGTGTTCGTGGCTCCGCCCACAATTATTCATATATGGAGATTCTGTCGGATGATACTTCCGGAATTTAGGTCGAAACTTTCAGTCGTCCTCTCATTGGCGTTTCCATGGTGACTCGCAGGAAAATATGAGCGGAACGCTGTACGAATGTCAACAGCAGGTGTGTGTCATTATTTTGCACCCAGAAAAATAGCTTTAAAATGCTTTTTCTAGTACACATGAAGGAGACAAAATAGTTTAATATCACAATAACAAAATAACAACTGTTAGGCTGAGGTGATACAAGTAGAAATTGTGGTGTAGCTATTTGTGGTATATTTGTTTTGTTTTTTGGATATTACAATCCCCATTTCCACTTCATTTAATGTCATTTGAGTTGACACCACTTATTAATTCACTTAATGTTCTCAATCCTTATTTTACTTGAGAATTCGATTGTTTTGATTTTGTATTGGCTATACTAACTACGTTTTTGTAATAAATATTTTAGTTCAGAAATCTATCCTTTTGGACAGTGAGCGTCAAGCCTTTTTCTTTGTTCAGACACCAACATGGACTATTGGACTATCTGCTACAACATATTTGAGTGAAAATGCAGGATAAAAGACATCGTTTATCTTGCAGCTTTTTTGCAGGTGAGCAGAAAGATCTTCAAGACGAGGTAAATATCACTTTTACCCAAAAACCCTCTAGAGGAACATATATGATATATGATGTGCAAATTTGCTTTCAGAGTGAATATACTGTCTTTTTCACCTCAGAATCAACAGAAAACAGGGCTGGTAGTCGCACTTATGTGTAGTTTATCCTTCAAGGACAATTTCTGTCTAGACACACCTTAAAATCTATAAATAAGCTATTAAACACAGTGTTGTACCTTAACCTTTTTACCTTTTGTGACAACATGCCCCATTCAGCCTAATGGAATTATAAAGTACTAAAAGTACTAATTAAATATTGATTACAAAACATAATAGGATAATAGTAAGGGGTGTAAATGAGCTTTATTTTCGTTATCTAATTGATGTATTTTTACTTTTAAAGTGAGATGTTAGTGTGTGTTGACTTCCTTCATGAGCCTGGTTTCAGTTTCAGGGCTGGGTCGCCCCATCAGTGAAGACAATCGTCCTGAACGAGAAGAGACTTCTGGTGCTCTCACAGTCATGACTGCACAAAAGAAGAGCCATGCATCGATAATAAAACCAGAGAAAAGAAATGGAAATACAGGACCCCAGCATTTGTGGCTTATTTCACACATTGCCTGTGTTTTTATTTTAAAAATGTGCATGCAAATGCTTTGTAAAATGATCACCATGATGGAATAGTTGTTCTATTGAACCGCTGTCTAGTGCACTAGCCCTTTAAATTTAGTTGCATGCCACAGTATATGTGCACACAGTAAGAACAAAAAGTGATCAAGATCAAATGCATTAACAAATTTGAAACCAAATGCAAATGAGCGGATCCTTTTAATGAGATGCACTCACTGTAAAAAAAATATTGATGGTTTAACTTAAAAAAGTAAGTAACCTGGTTGCCTTAAAATTTTAAGTTCATTGAACTGGAAAAAGTGAAGTAATACAATGAAAGAGATTAATTTAACCATCAGAAACTCAAAATTATATGTTATCTGAACTAAATAAATTATTTAAGTTGATTTGACAAAAGAAAAAATGTTGTGATTACTACACTGTAAAAAAATGTGTTGGTTTAACTTAAAAAAGTAAGTAACCTGGGTTGCCTTAAAATTTTAAGTGGATTGAACTGGAAAAAGTGAGTAAATACAATGAAGTATTAATTTAACCATCAGAAACTCAAAATAATAAGTTATCTCAACTAAATAAATTATTATAAAGTTGATTTGACAAAAGAAAATATGTTGTGATAACAAATCTTGAAAATATTTGTTACAGTGCTGGTATATTTTCTTCTGGATCTTCAATCATGCACACACATGATTTTAAACATTGAGCAACTCATCAGCTGTTCACCTTGAACATACATACTTGAGCTGTGACAAACATTTCAGACGAGACCAATTTGTTGATGATGCATGATGTCTTTTTTAAAAAAGCTTGATACTGGTCGCTATTCACTGCCATTATATGGATGCGCTCAAACGGGAATTTTAGGGGAAAAAATTCATTATCCTTTTGTGGTCCATAATCTGTACGGCATTAGAAAAACACCCCTGGTGTTAGTAATTAAGTAAATTATGACATTTTAATTTTAGGGTGAACTGTCCCTCTTAAGAAGTGAGCCTTTGGTAAATAAAATGGCCATTTATTTCAATACTTCATTTTGTACCTAAACGAAACGGATTGGTCTCGTCTGAAATGTTTGTCACAGCTCAAGTGTGTTCAAGCTGGTGTGTTGCTCAATCTTTAAAATAATGCATGTGTGCATTCTTGAAGATCTAATGGCTATCCAAATATCCATGCCTCAAAGGCTCATTAAAAGGCTCTGCTTGGTTTCAAATTAGTTCATGCATTTGATCACTTTTTGTACTGTATAACATGCAACTAAATTTAAAGGGCTAGTGCAATGGACAACGGTTCAATAACTATTCCATCAAGATGATCACTTTACAAAATTTGTGTGTGCACATGTGAAAGAGTTTAAAATAAAATAACTGGCAATGAGTGAAAAAAGCATTTTAGAAATGCTGGGACCAATGTCTTTTCTCTGGTTTTCTCTCTAGTTTTATCAATGAATGGCTCTTCTTTTGTGCACTAATGACTGTGAAAGCCGCAGAACCCCTCCGTCTTCATTCATAATGAACAGATCCATCTTAGAAAACAGCTTCAATGGTTCTATTTTGTTCTTGACTCCATTCTAAAGAACCCTTTATGCCAAAAGGTTCTAAAAACATCTTTACTGATTGCATACTCATGTTTAACAGGTTTTCTTTTTCTTTTCTAGTGATCAAGTATGTTTACATGCTCATGCATTTTAATAACAATTCAAAAATGAAGATTTAGGGGTTCAATTTGATGGATTTAATTTTTAATTTATTAAAAGTTCTATATGAAGCTCCTGACAGAACCATATACAACGTGACATCAAGAACATTTAATCACCAAAAATATATAGTATATTACTCAACTAGGAACCCAATGCAGCCCGAAGCGGATACGCTGATGCGTCAACTGTGTTCCCGACACAAAAAATGTAGAAGAATTTCATTGTTGCCTAAAGGACTCATCTGAATGAAGTTATTGCAGAAACTTGAGTGTTGCTGGTCTTGTTGCTCAGTGAAACCGGATAATCCAGCTCTGTCAGGATTTATCACTACACACTGGGCCGTTTACATGACAGCGTTTTCAACTAAAAACTGAAACTTTTAATGTGTTTTGGTCTTTCATTTGTGCGTCAATGGCATTTTAGAGGCCTGGGAAAAAAGCAAACTTTGGAAAACATGTTTCAAAGTGCAGGTTTTTGAAACCGATCCTGTTATCGTCTCAGTGTACAACTACAAAGGTTATATTATATATTATATAGCCATCTACTGGCCTGGCCGCAGAATACAGCATTTTTAGTCGTTTTTAGCATCTGTGTGTGAATGTTGTCTCCATGCGTAAAACGTTGATAAGTTAACGTACCCTTATTGTTTCACTGTAAAAAAATATATATTGTTGGTTTTTTGTTGGTTGGTTGTCTTAAAATTTTAAGTTCACTGAAATGGAAAAATTGAGTTAATACAATGAAGGAGATTAATTTAATCAGCAGAAACTCAAAATGTTATCTGAACTACATAAATTAAGTTGATTTGAAAAAAGAAAAAATGTTGTGATTACAAATCATGAAAATATTTTTTACAGTGGGTTTACGTAGAGATGATGTATAAAAAATAGATATTGGCAATAAAATATAGGCTATACAATTTTCTTTAATTTTTCGCGCAAAGATAAATAAAGGTTGAGCTCATGTACTGTCTTAAATCAACTGGATTTCAATGCAGATAGAGGTTAATAATGTTATTTTTAATGCATTGTGACTGTTTTATGATCTTATTTCTATGATCTCATCTGTATATGGTAAAATGAAAACAATAAAATAAAACAAGCACATAACTGCTGTGTACTTTACAGCTTTCAGTTGAAGTGTTTGTAAAGTTTACAGAAGCCCTTGCTCAAAAATCCATTATATAACGTGTAGTTACAGTCAAACGCTTGAAATAAACAAAGGGGGTTGTGTGACATCACAAAAATGTGAAGGATGTTACTGATACAACAGGTTCAGCTGGTAAAGTTAAAGAGCATTGGACTGTTTTCGAACATGATACACATCTTGTTAAACACAATATTTTAAATAAAGAGATTCTAGGCTGGTTTAAGCCGTTCAGAATGCGTATGATTGAATGGTGTTGCTCTTGTCATAATATACCGGTAAAAAGGAAGGTTATTGTCTCCACTCATATCAGTTACTTTACTTTTATACTTTTTAATTTTTCTTGCACAGATGTTTACAACATCTAACATACATTCTATATCAACATACACTTAAACATCACATATTTTAAAACAATACAACACTTATACATCTAACACCTCACAGTACGCTTGATTTCTG